ACATGCTACTTTCTGCGCTCAAAACTCTTGGCGGCGCAGCCCTGGAGGACTACAGGACTGGCGGACTACAGGACCACGGGGCCAGAGGACCACGGGACCGGAGGACCACGGGACCAGAGGACCAAGAACCGAAGCCGCAGCAGGACCGAGCCACGCCTTTCCAAAAAATGGACACTACAGGACCAGGGGGCCAGAGGACCACGGGACCGGAGGACCACGGGACCAGAGGACCAAGAACCAAAGCCGCAGCAGGACCGAGCCACGCCTTTCCAAAAAATGGACTTCTGAAACGCTGCTCAAGACTCTTTCGCGACAACTGTTCTCCTGTTCTCTAGGCTTATCCAAATAGACTCACGCGGCCTCACGCTGGCTTACCATGTCTACGTCAGAGAAGCTCGGGGCGGTTACATCCAAGCGTGAGACACTTGATGTTGCGAGCAAGCAGACTTGCATCAAGCCTATTTTTCCATCTTCAAGGACTCGAGCGCCAGTCAGCCGTTGGTTCTTACGGCGCAGGGCCTTTGTTGTTTGGGAGCCTGCTTTTGAAGCAGGCTGGTGTACAGAAGGAGTAGCCGGTTGTGCTAGCACCGGCTTCAAGCTGGGTCATGTTGGCTGCAGTTTTTCCACATGCCAGCCTACTGGAATCAGGTGAACGATGCACGCAGCCCATGAGGCTCACCATCCAGGTCTCAGGAGCATCCTCCAAAAAAAGCGGGCCCCGCAAGCAAGCGCAAGCACCGTAACCGTGAAACATGCAACCAGACCTGGCCTCGCGAAAGGGCACGAAGTCTTGCACCTTCATGGCTCTCAACATCTGTAGTGGAGGAGGAGATGACCGCCGACTTCTTGAGATGCGGAGCTCTGACAGGGACTGACTGAGGCAAGGGCTTCCATGGGAACACGAGAAGCAGACACCTACGTTCTTCTATTAGATGCCACACACTCCTTTGCAGGCTGAGCACACCTCATCCGGGTCCTTCTGATGACTCCTGTCCTTAGCTCGTAAACGAATCCAACAAAGCTTAGCCCTGTTATTGCTTCCATGCCACATCCTTGCCCGCAGATGCAGAAGCCTGGATTCTTTGGCTGTTGACTGGCACGTTGCGCGCAACAGCAAACTTGCAGACCGAGTCGGGCGCTGCGCGCTCATCATCCTAGCACCATAGGACAGACTTGCCCAACAAAAGCAGGTAGCATAGCTGAAAGACGAAGTCATCAGCTAGGACAAGTCATCCCCCCATGACTCATCAGCGCCTCTGTTCTGCCCCCATCCTCGCGAGACTCTACCGAAGCTTCAGTAGTCATGACTGGTCAGCGACTGGTCAGTGCCTCTGCTTCACTGCTATCCTCGCAAGCAAGAGCAATGAGCCTAACAAAGTATATGGCGTAACACTTAACAGTCATGAGGAGCGGAAGCCTCTTCTTCACTTGCATCCTTGCAGCTGGCATCGTACGGGTCAAAAGAAAGGGACATGGAGCGCTAGCCACACAGGTTCGCGGAAACCTATACATCCTTACCCTGCTTGTCCTGAGGCCCCGGCACTGATGAAGCCTTCGAACAGATGCTTCTCCAATCCTTCCCCCGAGTCAGCCTGAACCTGCTCTGCAGCCAGACTACAACCACAAACTACGGACCTCACAGCGACTTTACAGGTGACTCAGAACAAGACTACGTTGAGCTCGCCCTCAGCCTGGGGCTCCGCGGAAGTCATTGGGCGGTTGACCTGCAAAATACATTCATTCACAAGTGTGGCCTGAGTCCCACGCAAGGAATATGAAACAAACCAAGTTATCAGCCAAGGCAATCGGGGCATCTGCGCCAGCTTCCAGGTTCCTTTCACGAGCCGCAGACGCAGCAACCTGCAGGGGAGCTTCAGCTATACATTTTGCGTTTCCTGCGACACGCCTACCTGCACAGCACAGCGAACACAGTACGCGCGAGCAGCCTTCTGCGGAGACCAGGTCTTTGAAGACTCGCTGACGGCATGCAGGACACCGATGGGAATTGAAGGCAACATAGCCTTCAATTCCGTGAGCGGTATTGCGGCCAGCAACTCAACGCTGAGTCGCTCCGCCTGCAGGACCTCAGCCCAGCTGGCCAGATCATGCGCTGCAAGGAACTGCAGCAAACGCTGATCTCGCTTTGTGGGTGTTGAGCATGATTGCTCTGCAGACTTCTGAGAAAGGCGAGCCGCCCCTGGCAACACGA